TAAAATCTGTTCCTTAAAGATGGATTTTAAAATAAGTTCATGTAGAATATTTGAAAATTTGAGTACGCGCGGAGGGAGGGACGGAAAGATAGTGGTGTAAAATGAACTTAGTTTAAAGATAACGAGATCTTCATTCCACTGAGTTTTTCTGAATGAATTTTGATTATTATTGTTAATCGACAATAGCAAGTTGTTGAAAATATAAATGAAGAAGTTGGATTTTACAATGTAATTTAAAGTTTGATTTAGTTTTATATGAACGTCTCTGACAAAATTCTCACGCCCTTGCGTTTTTCTTGGTCTGAAATCTTTACGTGCTTCAAATTCATTACATGTCGTGTGTCAAGTCGATGTTTGGAGACTGAGTTAAGTTTCTTTAATGTTACTTTTCATGTTTAGCCACTTTTTGACTCAGTTTCCTTAGAGTATACACAACACAAGCTTTGGAGCATTGAGTACAATGGATTTTATATACTTCGCTCTGTTTTTCCATTTTTTCAACCCCATCTTTGTTATTTTTAATGATTTTTTTTGCCGAGAATCTTGTATACAATTCTATAATTTTATCCAATGGGAAGTTGTTTTATGAACGGTAAATTTAGGAATTAATGAATAACAATATTCTTATAACCAGCAGATTTGGAAATTGTAGAATGTTGTACTTAAGACAAAAAAATGATTTTTATAAATTGATAAATTTTGGAGAATAATCACAAAGGTCTAGTATGGATTCACAATAGTGGATATTTTGGTATTGAATTTATGATCAGACAATTGAATATGATAGACAATTGAATTATAGGCAAATGTAACTCTTAGATTCAGAGGGTGTTTAGGACAATTCAAAATTCTCCCCGTATTCGTAGGTTTCTTGTATCAATTTTTCAAAAAATTTTTCTTTTTTTGCCACAAGATGGCTAGAAGATGAGAGTCGAAGCGTTGCTTACTCCAACTTGTAATGAATTAGAACAATAAATCGCGGTTATTTATAAGAAATCTGAATGTCGTAAATTAAAAAGGAACTGTTTTTTAATAAAGAATTCTCGTTTGCTTTTGACAATATTACTTGAAGAATGATTTGTCTCAGACTTGAATATCGAAAAACTCTCATTTTATGTACCTTTGTATATTAATGATATAGTAATTACATGTTTGGTTTTAAAGAATGCTTGTAGCAAGGAATGCTTGTTAAGTGATATCTTAATGCTGTGTGTAGCCTAGTTTCTCTTTTATGGCACTCATTAAAAAGAAAAAAGTACAAATAAGGCACATTACACTGACATCTATCTGACCAATTACGGAATATAGACTTCACTTTCCTGCAACAATGTTGCAACACGAGTACCGCAAAGGGTACCGTAATTGGGGACAGAAGCAAAATAATTACAAGATTCCGCATTCAGGGATGGTGGCAATACTAGTTGACTGTGCAATACTCACGCACTCTACCTCTCAGATTCCGCCTAAAAGAACAACACCCATCTGTTTTTTAGAATGTACTTTAACTCTAACTTTAGTTAACAACTTAACTAGCGTAATTTTGTAACGTCATAGTTGTGACACATTTGTTTTCGGAGGTCTTAAATAATTCAAGAAATCCATTTTTCGTAATTCATTTTATTGTTCGGATGAGAACAATTTATTGCCATTTTCGTTAATGATGTTAAATCATCATTAGAGTATAAATATTTTATTTTAATTGGAAACAAAATGACAAGATACTTAGGTAGTCAATAATTTGTTATTCAGTAGTAATAATGTCAATTACATTTTGGTTGAATACTCTGAGAGAACTTGGAGGAATGTTTTATAAGGTACGCTATATAAGTTTTTGTAGAAGAAATATTATAAATAATTACTGATGCCCTTTTCCGATACCTTATTCATACTTTTTACTTATTTTAGGAATTAGGTTACTGTTAAGACATATTTATTATAAATTTCGATTAATCCCATTTAAAGGGAGCATTTGAACTTGAATGCCTTTATGACGTTTGTTTATGTTTTCTCTGTGCCCAAATTTACTTCATGCGTTCACTGTGATGTTTTTTTCGCTCCGCTGTCCATTTACATCCTCTTTTCTTCTGTGTTATGGTGTCAGATTTACGGTTTTTTGATAGTCTTCTTGAATTATTTTCTATCTTCTGCATCATTTATTATTGTGTGTGCTTGTCTGAGGTACTCCTGGGCTTCTATTATCCACTTCGTTTTCCCTTGCCTGAGTTGATGACTGTAACAATCCGCCTCGAAATTCGGTTTTCATTCATCCTGTGAATGTGTCAGTAGAACTGCATTCTTCTTTTCCTGAATTATTATATTTATTATATTCTTTTATTATATTTATTTTAACCTTGTTATATCTTTTTCCCGACACATTTTATATATTCTTTTTGCGTACTAAAGAAATAGATAAAGCCTATTATGTATAAGTCGTTACATGTCATTGTGATAGTCGTGATAAGAATACAAATGCGTTTGAAGTAGTACAAATTATGACGCAGACCTAAATAGCATTAAATAAATTTTTTTTTAATGTAAGTGCAATTCGCAGGAGTAGATGAGCTTGTAATTCGATAAATCGATGAAATTGTAATTCGATCTAGCAGTTAATGTCACAAAAAAATTCTCCTTGGACAAGAATTCTTATAACTACAGTGCTAGAATTTTGATCACTAAACAGGATTTGTTTTCATTAAAGGAAACTCCCGAATACACCAATTATTAGTTTTTAGGAACTACCAAACAAAGCAGAAAAGATTAGCATTAAGGCTGTATGGTAATTTCAATGGATTTCAGTATCATCAGCTATTCGTTAACAGGATAATGTGATCAGATATGCAATAATTCAATATTTGTAAATGGATTGTACAGCGCCCTATTTAGGAAAAAAATATTTTAACACATTTGTACACGAGCAAATTCAGATGTGCTGGAATCAAACTTAGAAATATGTCAACGTACCCAGGCAAAAGATTCAGATTTGGAACATGAGCATTCTTCAAAGAATATCCATGCTTTTTCCATGATCTTGCTTTGGAAATCGGAATTAGGGCTGGAAACATTGATATAACTCCACTCCATTGATGATACCCACTTTGTTCCGACGAGGATGCAGAAAGTATTCTATGGTGTGGTTCATTTCAGTACGGACTGCCAATATATATATTTTTAAAATAAACAAAAAATGCTTGTTGGTTTGAAATAGAACATGTGAATTCATAACGGCAGTACTCCCTTGGAATACGATGCGATAAATATGTGATAATACGAGTAGTTTTCAATAAAATGAGTAAAATTTCGCAAACAAAATTATTTGGGGTTGATGTGGGATCGCCCTCGTGGAATCCGCCTCTGCTTCTGTCCCCTTGCACAGACTATCAAACGATCAGCAGCTACTAGTCCTTGCCCCCATCCCGAAGCCGAAGCAAGCGAAGAAGCACCTGCATGTTGTTGCGTGCGTCACAAAAACGCGCCCCGCTAACGCCACGCCGCGCCGGCCCCCTGCGCACTCGCCGGCAGGGGCGGAGGCGGAGGCGGAGGCGGAAGGTGGGAGATGGGCGTGCGTGGGGGCGGGGACGCAGCCGAACGCACGGGGCAGTGCGTGGCTGAAGGGCACGCGGGCGCCTCCGCGGCGTGTGCGGTCACTTCTTGCGTTGAGGGCGCCGTGCCACGCCGCGCCACCGCACGCGGCCGCCGCCCCCTCTTTTCAAAGCCAAACAAAAAAAACCTAACTGATTCCATATTTATACAATAGACCAATTACAGAGTTCAAATTCTTGAAATCCCTAACTGCTGGTCAGGCAAGCCCCACAGACGCCCTGTGATTATCACATTAGTCTTCACCAAATAGGTTTGGACCACCCACAATTTGTAAGAAGCCACCGTCTTCGTTTCCCCCACACACAATACTAGATTAAAGGATGGTCAATGAACCTTAATTTGTCTCGAAGCACACTCTCGCTGACTTCCATTTCTTGCGAGCATTTTAAACTGAAATTTAATGTGTTTAAAAATGGAGTATTTTAGGTTTTCTGGGCAGTAGTGGGAGGGCAACTGTTTCTTGTACTCCCTTTGAAGTCCGTGATTAAAGTCAAGCTCTAATCTTTGATCCAAATTATACGAAGTTCTTTCATGATAATCACAATGTATTTTTGTAATTGATGTGCCCCTCTGACGGAACATCTAACTTTACTTAATCTTCCTTCTTGTTTTGGAGGAATGAAACGATGACCATATTCTTGCTAATTTTTATTTTACCTTTAACCACATGAGAAACAATACAGCGATAATTAGTAGTTGGTAGAGGAACATCACGTACTACATTGGAATCCCTGTATCGAAATTGCTACCCATAAAGGCAATTGGCCGAAGAGCTTTAGTAAAAAACGACAGAAAAGTTACATTTTCTGGACACATTTTGTATTTGTATCAAATTGTGGTATTCCACCTTTATGATGAAGCTGACATTTTTCTAAAAAAAACAGAGCATTCTATTTTATATTATATCATACACTTTTAAATGGAGTTACGCAATATCTCTCAATTAGCTTATGTAGCTAGGCAATATCTCTGAATTATTGGCAAATTTGATTTCTGTCGTCTCGTAAGATTTGTTTGAATTTGACTATGCCATTCAAATGTTATATTTACAAAATTTACTAGAAGTACTTCTTCGTAAAAAGGACAAGGAAGTTATAACATAATGTTTGTGCTGTAAACACATATATTAAATGAAAAGAATTCAAATTTTCAAAATGTAACATATTTAATTCAAAATATACATTACAGTTCAATACTTCACAACAGTGAGAATGGTAAAAAAAACAAAACTGAACAGAAAAATAACAAACGATATAGTAATTATTATAACAATACATGTACATGGAAATGCTGCACGTGTTAATACAAGTAAATTCTAACAAACAATTGAGAAAGAGTAAACATGACACAATTTTACATTTGTTTCTTCGCACAACGCGAACGAAGAATAACTATTGATTTCAAGCGTAGTAGACTTGTTGTCTGGAAGTGGACTTTCCTGGCACAACGCTTCTCTTGGAGCCGAAGTGTGTGGTCTGGAAGGAGTAGCCTCCGCTGAGCCCCGCAGGTTGGTCGTAGGCCAGCTTAGAAGCCGGGGTCTGCACTGCGACGTACGACAGCTGCTGCTGCGGCTGTTGGGATGTGAAGTAGGTGGCGGGGGCGGGAGCTTTGGACACGGGCGCGGGGGCGGGGGCGAGGGGGAAGTCGAAGGCATGGACCGGCAGCGCGGGTTGGACTGGCGGCAAGCTCAACACCTCGAGGTTGTTCTTGGCGAGGTCCGTGGGCGCGGGGGTGTGCAGGGACAGATGGGACACGGGGCTCTGGCGGACTTGCGCTCCGGGATCGCAGACTGTGCCGGCAATCACCTGGTCCGCGTTCGCCACGTAGATGCGGAAGTTGACGTCCTTGAAGTCCAAGTCGGCTTCCAAGAACACGGGCATGCGGTCGGACATCACCCAGATGTTGCGCTGGGCGTCGATCTTCACGTCGCTGGGGAATACGAGGCCCACGTCGTCCCGGTCGATGATGCCTTGGTACTGGGGCAGGTACGGGTTCTTCGAGTTCCAACAGCCGACAGCGTTTTGATCGATGAGATTGTAATACATAATACCGAGGTCGTCCATGAAAGAAGCGGTGAGATGAGTGTTCGGGCCACGCTCCTCAAGAGCTACGAATTCGTGGTAGCTTTTGAGAGCCTGCTCTCTGTTGCGAAGCACGCGAGTGGATACGGCAAACTCCCGGTGGCTGGACAGAGGGTGGAAGAACAAGGTACGGAACCCGTCAGCTTGAATGGGAGACAGAGACATTCCGAAGATTCCTTCCTCACCCCACTGGAAGTTCAGGCCTGCGATGTTGTAGTCTCCCTTGAGAGGATCGGGCATGAAGTAGCTGTGGGTGACTCGCCAAGAAGTGTTCTGCTCCCAGCTGTAAACAATGAGACCGTATCCCAGCTCGTCTGATGCGTAGACAAAGGTGTCGTCACAGGTGTGTCCGATGTCGACGGCGATGTTAGCGATGAAAGTGTTGGCGTTGGTGTCGTCGGGCTTGTACTGGTAACGGCGGATCAGCTTGTCTGTGGTGAGGTCGAAGGCGAGCAGAGCGTAAGGACACACATTCTCCGTGGTGTTGCCGATACCCACGGTACCGGTGTCGAGAACCCAAAGGCGGTTACAGGCGTCGGCTTTGATGCGGTACGTGGTGGTGATGCCGTTGCAGTTTCCTTCTCGGTTGGTGTTCCAGTCTGGGTAGGGAGTCAGCTTGGGTGACTCTGTGTTAGCCGTTGATAATGAAATGTAGTTCAGAGCCGCAGGAATACCTGTGACATAAGAAACATTGGCATATTTTAAAATGTGCTTTGAATGTTGGTCATAGTGGGTTAATAATTTTGACAATGATGTTTTTTTTCCATCTTTCTGTGTCACTTGTACAGTGTAAAAAATTCGAGATACAAATTCATAATTGATTCATAATATGTATTCATAATTAATTAAAAAAACTATCACATCTTGTATTTTAAACCACAATTTAGAAGTCTCTTTTTATTAAAATTCTATTTTCTGTTGCAAAATGTTCAATAAGAGTGAGAAGTGAACACTTTAAAACAACGTAAACACAATTATTTATGTGGTGTGTGCCTTATCACGAAACAGTTTTGAACAACTGTTATGCAGTCACCGAGTAAATATATTACGAGTAATAAATTATTTTCTGTAAGCGTCATTTATAACTACAAATTTGATAAATTAAAAGTTTCATGTCAGAAAAAAATTTGAACCAAAATATGAAGTGTGATTTTTTTGTGTATAGCATTGAAGGGTAAGATGAAATGGGTATTTTCAATCGTTCTGAAAATTTGCATTTGCCACTTTTTTAAAGTTTAAGTATGATAATAAAGATAGAAGGAAATGAAACTTCTCTAAAATAATCTCAAACTTGAATTGTTAGAAGCTGTTAAAATATGAATCTAATAAAAATTATGTTCGAATGATTAAAGTTACGTCAGAGCGACTTGTGGAACCATAATCAATCCAAGTTCTTACTTAAGGCTTCGGGTAGTACATATTTGTTTAACTCGTTCTAATATTGAAATCTTAACTTGATTGGGATAATTATATTTCAGTCGACTTTTCCAAATAGCTGAATTTTTCAGTTTCAATAAAGATAAATAGATAATCTAAGTTTCTTAATTCAGCCTTAAAATGATTTTCATCATTCATGGGCTAGAGGCTAAGGTACAACACTTGTTACAGTCATATTAAGTCTTATATCATATTAAGTAAAATAGCATATTATATATTTATACCATTATTAAAATTATTATTATCAGAAAATATCATTACAAAGAAACTGTTATTTTATTTCTACCCCAGATTTAATGGTGATTTGTAGGCATAGATCAAATGCTTGCAAATTTAATGCAGCGACTACATTTATATTTTGAGAAGTGTAGCTAAGTTTATAATATAGTTACTAGCCCTCCCGATAAAAGGAACAATGTGTACGCCAATCCAAATAATCTACATTGGATGAGCGAACGCTTTCACTTGCATTCTTCAGTTATGGGTTGCGAATACCGCTTACAAATCGTAATTGACAACTGATAATGACCAAAATGGTGTCGCGCAAAATTTTCTGACAAAAAGTCCTCCCATTTTATCTTCCATTCATTATATTTATATAATCTATTCGATTCATGTCTCAGCTTTTCATACACATTTACACTATATTCCGCACCGCATCTACCATCACGCGTACTACTTTCATTTCTCTGCAAATTGGAATGGGAATAGAATTTCGGAACAATGACCACCATCGCATCCCTGTGAATCATGTAGGATAAATACTTTTAATGATGCGCAGAATTGTATGGCTTTCCCGAACCCCGTACCACATGAACGAGGTATGTTCGGGATACGTCGGTGCACTCTCTTCGACCGACTGTACCTCCCGTCCCTATCTGGCAATGTAAATTGGGTCATTGTCTTGGAAAACGGGTTTTTATCCCACCCTAAATGAAATAATAGCAATATATTTCGAGCTTGCATTATCAGATGAGTTGGAAACTATCTCTACCTGCATATCTAAAGAGGTGCGCGAGTGAGAGCTAAGTATCCTAAGGATGGTCCGGTTTTTCAAACCGCTCCATGCTATATGCTCTACACTATTATACATCCTATATTTAACTGGGTTTGTTTAATGCTTACAAAGAAAATTACATGTTTCTCACATCCAGAAATGAAATTTTGAATTGTCTGGCTAAAGCGCTTGTACATCACCATATTGTATTTTCTATGTTCTATTTTGTCACTTTCATCGTATTTATGAGTTTTTATTTATTACTTCTCGCTGTCAACATAAATATTGTTAGTTACTCGCCATATTACCTACTTACACAGTCAAGAGATATATACTAAATCTACAGCAAAAGTCGGCGGTTTTTAACAGTTCGGCGAAAATCACAAAACATCAACATCGCAAATAAACAATTTTAATGTTTTGTGATAGAGATTAGCATAAAGATTTTTGACTTTTTAAAATTTGTTCCAAAATAGATCTTAAAATAATATCATGTACAACAATATTTAGAAAAAACGGATAATTCTCGCGGAATTTTTCCTTGAAATAAAGACAATTTATACTGCCCCCTCCGAAAACACCTCTGAAATTTTAATTTTAATTTCTTCACCAACTAGAACTAGGACGTTTAAAATAATGGTGCATGTCTCATTTTCATTGCATTCTCGGGTCTCATGTTAAATGAACTCTGTCTAATATCGAAAATTGAAAAAAATATAATTGTAGAACTATAATATCAATAATGGAGATTTTTTCGTTAATAAAATCTGTTAAAGAAATCTAAAAGATCAGATCTTAAATAATGTAAAATACAACTTTTTGAAAGTAAGAGTAGTTTTCGCGTGATTTTTGTGTGACGTAAAGGCAATAAATAAACAATTTTTAAAAACGGCTCCAATGTTCAATTTTTTTCATGTAGAGCAAAATACTCTTACACAAAAGCGGCATGTGTGATTTTCGTTGAACGTTCGAAAATCGCAATCCTGAATGTTCGAAAATCGCAAAAGTTAAAAACAATGCGAGAAGATGAGTGCTGTTCTCGTCCGTGTAGTTGTGTGACGCAGCCGCCCATGGAGGAGCGTGGGGGCGCGGCAGGGCGCGGCCGCGGCGGGGGCCGCGCTGCCCGGAAAGCAATGAAAGTGGTCGCGCGGCCACTTTCGCCGGGCGGCGCGGGCGCCTATCTCGGCTTGGGATCGGTGACATCACGGCCGGAATAAAGGCATCAATTATTTACTGAATGGAACGAGTTTTTGCGGCGGCTTCCGCAGAGAAGCTTCGACTTCACTGCTTGCCGCGCGGGTCACTGACGCATTAATAGGCTGTTGGCACGGGGAGTGTCGTTCGAACTTCGAGCGACCTCTTGGGAGAGCCGGCCCGAGGAGATGGAGAAGGCGAGGGAGAGTGGCGTCCAACAGTTTAGATTTAGATTTATTTAGTAAAAAAGAAAGAAAAAACTGTACATGACGTATGGGGGAGAAGATTATCTGCGCACGTTTTCTTGAGTTTCAGAATCCCTTCCTGACATTTTAACTATAAATAGTTGAAAGATGAGTAAAAATTTAAAATAAATGAATAAAAATAAATTTAAAAAACAGATTAGATATATTTGAAAAACAATAAATTTTCGTTCCCGAGTTATATACATTATTTGCAACGGTAAACAAACTGCAGGTTTTAATTTCTGCATTGCTAACAAAATAATAACTCGTACCCATATATATAACCAATACAGGCAAAAGGAGAGTTCAAGAAACCGTGTGCATAGTGAAGCTACGGTGCCGTTTATGGTCTTCTACAATGTGGCCTAAAATTCTCTGAATCATTTTTTGTAGAAATTTTTAATTACAATTTACTTCATAAACATTATTTAATTTTTTAATCTGTATCTTTATTGTGGTGCCATTTGCACCTCAATAGCCTCTCTAATTAATGAAAGCCATATAATAAGTTACACGAGACGGATGTTGTGATTTAATTGCTCCTTGTTTCAAATTACATAATTCATTTAATGTAGGATAATAATTCACGATTTTGACAATATGCGTTTTGCTAAGACATTTAAGGTAGCCTTAATATATGATACCAATTTAGGACACAAAAAATTAACTTCAATCAAAGATGATGTAAAGACGTTATTGTTGCTCTTTCACAGAAATAAACCGTGCTGACTTTTCTCAAAACACTCTTGGAAACGGACTTCAATACTTAGTTAATTTTGTATTTTTGTTGTAGGTAGTATTGCAAGGTTTTTCATTTCATGCTACTTGTGTGGTCCAAGACTTCCATGGACCCCACAATTTGCTACAAAACTCTCAAAGTTGATTTCAGATAAAGAAAGATTGAGCACCCCTAGTATACGGCCACATATGCAGAGCGCAGTGACCTCTTAGAAATGGGGTCGCTTTCCCGGCTGCGTTGGTAATTAGTGGCGATACAATGCTACAAATCACGCTGGAGACCGGGACCAAACCTGTAATGTAGGTGCATGTTGCTGCACGTTTGCTGCCGGGTTCGAAATGGGTGCGAGTAGAACGTACCAGACCTTGATTGCACTTTCTTGGCGCACCCGAAGGCATCGTCTAACACTCTCCCTATTTCTTAACTTCTGCGTGCGTACTACTCTTCCTAATACGTTTGGCATACTGACATATTCAGCACTTGCGGCTGCTGTGGAAGCTTCAGCATCGGTTGCGGCTGCTGTGCTTTGGGCGGACCAAAAACTGTTGACCCGTCTCTCCCCTTCTCTAATTATTTTCTTGCTCTCCTTTTTGTATTTTTAATACATTAGCTCATGCAACATGCAGATAACCTTCAATTACTCTGGTTTAAGGAACACTAGATAGTATTGAAGTATCTTAAAGAACGCAATTTGGTGAGCGAAACTCGCTGAAGGATATTTTTTCGTCACATTGGACTCCTGGTCTACTACTAGGTCCAGAGAGGAACGCCGTCGATTCCTCTATTCTATATCCCGATTGTGTATAGTACACTAGTTGTCTATGTATATACATTAAATCATAGTGAAGGTTTGAATATTTAAAGGCAACTGCATTTATTTATACACCTACTCGTATACATATTAGTTATTGCAAAACAGCATTGATCTCTTTAGTAACGTTTCAGAGAACCTCTTGTTTCTATCTTAAGGCTATATTTCATATAAAATGTTATACAATATATCAATCAGTTCGATGTTTACCTGGTGAGTAAGTTATTACTTTATTGTTTCAGATGTTTAAT